CAAAATGGCGGAAAGGTATTTTAAACACAGATGTGAAATGAAATTGCCGTGAAGGAACTAGATGAAAATACGAACAAAAGCACCAAATTTTGCTTGAACGACGGCTCGTTCCAAACATCAATTTCCAAACATCACTCGTACTATTAATCCCTAATTGTACTCGCCATCGCATGATTACCGATACAAAATTTAATTAATAATTATAGGGTAAAATTTAATACATTTATTGGACCTAACCAGAAACAGCTGGACAGCAGTTGCCCAAAATCCTGATATTTACCCATAAATCTTACCATGGCATCACCCTACTTGCGGTCAGAGCTCGACAACTGGACTCTGTAGCTCAGTTGGTTAGAGCGCTTCAAGATAGCAGTATTCGTACTGTCTGCATTTTAGTGTGGATCATTTCTACTAAAATCGAGTGATATGTAACTGACATTTCAAATACTCATTAATAATTCATAAACCTTGTGGTAAATCATGTCAGCCATAATATGTCACGTGGAGTGACTTTATATCTGATAAAATTCATCTTCATTAGTATTATATAATTGTTCATCCTAATTAGGATGATTATATAATTGTTCATCCTAATTAGTATTCTTTTGTAGTCGCATTTTCAGCTATTCAAAACACTCGTTGTCGTGTTTTATCAGACATAAAACGCTCGGCTGGGCCTCGTAATTCCTTTTCAAATCTTTTATACTAAGTAAAGATACATCAAAACAGTAAAGTTTGCGCAAGAATCCATTATCAATCTTCATTCATTATATTGTTACACTGTCCCCTGCTGAAGCAGATATCTTTACTGATCACAGTGTAATCAGTTTTGACCTCTTTGTTCACCCAAACGCTTGCCAAAAACTAACAGGACGGTGTATGATTATCGGCGAGGAGACTCTTATACAGCTCTTAGATCTGCTCTCGAGTCCTTAATTAAACCTCTCTGGGTTAATTTCAAGCGATGGTGATATTAACGAAGATTGGCGTAATTGGAAAGATACTTTCTTAGCGACAGTATCGGATCACGTTCCATCTACAAAATTACGAAGTCGTTATTACGTCCCATGGATGAACAGGGCTATAATGCATATAATATCAAAATGAAAAACTCTGTACGGCGGAAGTTAAGGAAATCTCCTACATTTACTAACCTGAAAGAAAAATTCAAACATCTCAGAACTGCCATTAATTTAAAAAAATTCTGCGTGAAAGTCATACATCAACGTACATCAACTCTATTTGTGATGATCACGGAAATAACCCAAAGCGTTTCTGGTCGCTCTTCAAGCTAAAAACCAAATCTTGCAATGTTCCCGAGAAAGTCTCAATGGGGGTTGAAGGAAATTCAAGGAAATACTCAGAAACACAAGGGGACATAGCAACTCTCTTTAATAATTATTTTACATCCATCCTTACCAATGATCCAGATACTTCCATAGACCCGTCCACGATCGATGATAACATTTCTTGTTGGAGGATGTTGTTTTAACACCTGACGACGTAGCTAATGTACTAAGAACTTTTGATAATGACAAAGCTCATGGCCCAGATGGGATTCCTGCCCATTTACTAACAGAAACTGCATCTCAAATAGCTCCATCTCTATGTCAATTGTTTAACAAATCGTTGCGTATCGGCGTGGTACCATCTGATTGGAAACTCGCTAATGTTGTTCCTGCTCATAAAAAAGGAGACCAGGAATTTGTGGAACATTATAGACCTATATCTCTGCTCCCTCTGGTTTCGAAAGTTCTGGAACGCTGTGTCTTCAATACTATTAAAGATCATATTTTCTGTCGAATAAATCCTTGTCAACATGGTTTCCTTCCCGGGAAAAACTGTGTGACCCAACTTATCGAAGTTTTTGACAAGATAGGAAAACAACTAGATCGTGGCAAACAGATCGATGTAATTTATTTCGATATGTCAAAAGCTTTTGATAAAGTTAGCCATAAACGTCTTCTTCTTCGTCTCCGTGAATTTGGTTTTGGAGGCAACATTCTCAACTGGTTCCGCTCCTACCTACAAGATCGTCGTCAACAAACAACCATCCTCGGTGCAACATCTTTACCTAGTCAAGTAATATCAGGGGTATCTCAGGGCTCCATTCTCGGACCGGTGTTATTTTTGTTATGTGAAAATGATCTCCCTTCTTCTGTGAAGAATTCATCCATTGCAACATACGCTGATGACACCAAAATCTTCAAAGAAATCCATAATATCGGTGATGCTGCATCGTTACAGGAGGACCTGAGTAATTTTGAATCAAGTTCTTCAGATATGGGTCTTCACTTAAACACTTCCAAATGTAAAGCTCTGCGGGTCACCGGAAAACATCGCAAGATCAAGTATCCATACACCTTACAAGATAGCATGTTAGAAAACGTTGAAAATGAGCGTGATCTCTGCGTATGGATATCAAACAATTTGACCTGGCGCAAACAGGTATTGGAACAATGCTCAAAAGCAAATAAAATGTTGGGTTTCATCAAAAGATCAACAAGAACAATCAAGAACTGTAAGGCCCGTCGGACGCTATATATAACACTTGTTCGATCGCAAATGGGATATGCTACACAAGTTTGGTCTCCGCAAACCATCGACCTCATCGCTCGCTTAGAACGCGTACAAAGACGTGCTTCTAAATACATTTTAGATCTACCTTTCCTTTGTGAAAGCAGCTACACCCAAAGGCTTATTGACTTGGTCTTTCTACCTCTAAGTTATTGGCATGAATATCTAGACATGTTATTTTTCTACAAGGCAAATTGTGGTATCATATGCCTCTCAGATACAGTTCTTCCAAAACCGAATGAAAACTCACGAATTACAAGATCAGTGGATCCGAACTCCATAAACTTCCAAGTTAGGAAATGTAAAACCTCTACCTACCAACAGACTTATACTATAAGAACAACAAGAATATGGAACATACTACCAGGATCAATAACCGATAAATCTAACTCTCTAATAACCTTTAAAAATCTGTTAATTAAATATTACTATACCGCATTAGATAGGAATTATAATGTGGATGATCCTCGGTCGTGGAAAACAATTTGCCTGAAATGTAACCAGGCCCGGGACCTAACCAAGTCTATTGCATGTTGTTTCTAAATCAGATATGTATCTATATATACATATATGTGTGTGTGTATGTTTGTGTAACACTGTACTTGTACGTTTACGTTTTGGGATCACAGTTATTGGCTTGAAGCTGTTGTGATTTCCTGTCACATTTGTAATGTTATATATGTAATGATTGTTATTTGTCATGTATCCTTGTTGTGAAAAAGCTTGTAAAATTAAAATTATACCAGTCTAATGAATTTGATTATTCTCGTAATAAATTTTTTCAACTTTAGTAAATTTCATGTCCGCATGTGTACGTATCCGTATGTCCGCATGACCGTGTCCGCGTTTTCCACTACACACTTACCTTCACTTAAATCTACTCTCTCCAACTTTTCAGGCTTAACCAACGTCCCGTTTCTCATTTCAGTATCTGATTGGTATTTATACATCAAAGCCTCGTCACCAAGGCAACCGAACGACACAGCTCGACTGATCTCACCATCGACAACACAAGCCAAATCTTGTCTCCTCTTTTTTTACCACATGTACGGCAATCACATCGGAAAACTTCGGGTATTTATTTTTATTTATTTATTTATTTCTATTTATTTTTTAACTTTCCCAAACTTTCTCAGGTGATCAAGGTCAACACTCATGCAATATACATAAACCGAAATTTTACATTTTACCGTACCCAAGTTATCCCTGAATACATACGCTCTCAAAACACGCCATAAAAGAACGGAAGAACTCACAATCAGAATACAAGAACGGAAGAACTCGCTATCAGAATACAAGAACAGCAGAACTCACTATCAGAATACAAGAACACAAGAACTCACTATCAGAATACAAGAACGGAAGAACTCGCTATCAGAATACAAGAACAGCAGAACTCACCATCAGAATACAAGAACGGAAGAAGTTCAACATCAGAATACAAGAACGGAAGAACTCACTGTCAGAATACAAAAACAGAAGAACTCACCATCAGAATACAAGAACAGAAGAACTTACCATCAGAATACAAGAACAGAAGAACTCACTGTCAGAATACAAGAACGGAAGAACTCACAATCAGAATACAAGAACAGCAGAACTCACTATCAGAATACAAGAACGGAAGAACTCACTACCAGAATACAAGAACGGAAGAACTCACCATCAGAATACAAGAACAGAATAACTCACCATCAGAATACAAGAACAGAAGAACTCACCATCAGAATACAAGAACAGAATAACTCACCACCAGAATACAAGAACAGAAGAACTCACCATCAGAATACAAGAACGGAAGAACTCAACATCAGAATACAAGAACGGAAGAACTCACTATCAGAATACAAGAACAGAAGAACTCGCCATCAGAATACAAGAACAGAAGAACTCACCATCAGAATACAAGAACAGAAGAACTCACTGTCAGAATACAAGAACGGAAGAACTCACTATCAGAATACAAGAACAGCAGAACTCACTATCAGAATACAAGAACGGAAGAACTCGCTATCAGAATACAAGAACAGAAGAACTCACCATCAGAATACAAGAACAGAAGAACTCACTATCAGAATACAAGAACGGAAGAACTCACTATCAGAATACAAGAACGGAAGAACTCGCTATCAGAATACAAGAACAGAAGAACTCACTATCAGAATACAATAACGGAAGAACTCATTATCAGAATACAATAACGGAAGAACTCGCCATCAGAATACAAGAACAGAAGAACTCACCATCAGAATACAATAACGGAAGAACTTACTATCAGAATACAAGAACGGAAGAAATCACTATCAGAATACAAGAACAGAAGAACTCACTATCAGAATACAAGAACAGCAGAACTCGCCATCAGAATACAAGAACGGAAGAACTCACCATCAGAATACAAGAACGCAAGAACTCAACATCAGAATACAAGAACGGAAGAACTCACCATCAGAATACAAGAACAGAAGAACTCACCATCAGAATACAAGAACGGAAGAACTCACTATCAGAATACAAGAACAGAAGAACTCACTATCAGAATACAAGAACAGAAGAACTCACTATCAGAATACAAGAACGGAAGAACTCACTATCCGAATACAAGAACAGCAGAACTCACTATCAGAATACAAGAACGGAAGAACTCACTATCAGAATACAAGAACGGAAGTACTCACTATCAGAAGACAAGAACAGAAGAATTCACCATCAGAATACTAGAACGGAAGAACTCACCATCAGAATTCACGCCTTCGAATACTTGCGGTACTCGGTACAGTAAACTGTAAAGTATCCCACATAAACATAGTATCGTACATAAACATGCCTTATCGGAGTGAAACCAAAATCGAAGATTTTGAAGTGAACCAAACTATACTATACTGTATATTCTCGATCTTTGTGGTATCGAGTACTTTTCAACCTATCGCAGAAGCTGAAATAACATTCAAAACTTGGCCGGCATCCATTGGGTAAATTATACGGCAGTATATAAATATTACTTTATACCAAACACTATACAGTATAGTTTAAATAATATCAATTCCAACTGATTTCTATTTTTTGTTCGGAAAAATGTTTGGCCAATCTGGCATTCGATCGAAAAAACTGTAATTTGGTCGGAAAACGTCCGACACACATTCACACACTGATAAATATATATGTATAATTTTAGGTCTACGTGAAATCTGGGGGTAAGATGGATTCTCTGTGGAGTCTTTCTGGAGACCAAGGTAACGGATGGTTTCATGAACGGGTGGCTGTGAACAATCAAACGGCATCATATCAGGTGAGCATGTAGATCAGTGAACACCAAATATAACTGAATCTAAAGATAGCAGATATAGGTGGCCCAGTTGGGTATAGAATTAGAAGTACCTGCTTGTTCAGGTGTTCAAATATTTCTGAAGTTCATCGACCAGTTAACAGAAACGACCACGCTTTTCTACTTTTCTTGCAGTTTGTAATCGAAGGTGTACGAGGTAATGGTTGGCGGGGCGACATTGCAATTGATGATATCTCTGTCATGGATTCATGTCTTCCAAGAGGTGAATCACTTGCGTACTCATAGCTATGTAGGCCGAAGTACCATCAATCTTTGACAAAATAGAGTAGGAAAGCTGCATCGAGTCCTTCCTGCCACGTATAGGTTATAATGTATTTTTACGATTTTAGAAAAGACTAACTTCGGCAGATAATATATTGAAGGGAAATTTCGAGTTGATTTTTTATACATTTATTACACCTAACCAGGTGCAGTTGTGAAAAATCTAACTACAGGACCTCTGGCAGAACCTGCGGCCCTGCGTTTCCGGTGCACAGGGACGCCGGAACTGGGGGGCAGGGGGGGGGGCAGCTGCCCCTCTTGCCTTTTGCAAGGGGGGCAGAAGTGCCCTTTTAGTTGTAGCCTGCGAATATGCTCTCTTTGAACTCTCTTTGAAATTTGAGAGAGAGCCTGCAGGCCTAGCTAATAAAAACGCGTCTGTGCGTTGCTTAGAACGACGCAGGGTTTCCCATTGGTTGAAATTGAATTAACTACAGTATACTGCCATAAAAGGTAATTAAATTTACACAACAATAGATTCAAATCGAAAAATATCGTTCTATAGCGACGAGTTGTATAGAAAACTAAATCTTCGTTTGAAGTTAAAGGATGGACAGTCAAAAGCTCTTAACAATATTCTAGACGGAAACGATGTTTTTGCTGTATAAGAGAGTTTGGCAAATACAACGGCAACGTTCTTATATCAACAATAGCATCTTTACTCTAAGACAAAGGCGACTATAATTTGCATTCTTGAGCATTCTAGTACGCCGTAGTTGTTTAAACTCAAGTCGTTGCAGTGTTTATGCGAATTCACTTACTATTGCTACTTCAGGAAATTTCAGGGTTGTTTGAAAGAAAGACAAGTGCTTTTAATATTGTAAAAAATCATGCGTTGAAATCAAGATATGCGTTTTGTTTACATATATATTCGCAGGCTATTGCATAAGGCTCTGTACATAAGGCGTGTCTGTATTAATTTTGTCACATTGTATTTTACATTTGATTGACAACACTATAAATAGTGATGGGCACAGACGCATTTTTATTGACTAAACCGGCAGGCTCTAATTCAATTCAAAGAGCCTGTTCGCAGGCTATTTTAGTTGTAAAATACTACCTGATAAATCACATTTCCAGTGATGCTTTTTCGGGCAAAATCATTCAGTGGGACAATCATTTTCAGTGGGACAAATGTACTTGTGATCTTGACTTTTAATTGTGTCTTTGTTAGATAAATTCTCCTGCGACTTTGAAGATCCTAACAGTTGCGAATGGACTCAAGATAAAAGTGATGATTTCGATTGGACCAGAAATCAAGCTTCTACACCAACACAACGCAGTGGTCCCACTACAGATCATACCAAGGGTTTGGAAAGTGTTATATTCTGTTTGCCGAGATACCATGCACTACCATCACTTCAATAATTCATAAGCTTATTGGCAAATCATATCAACCATAATATGTCACGTGCAGTGGCTTTAAACCTGATAAAACACTCCTAATTAGTATTCTTTATATAAAGAATACTAATAAGGCAGTATCTATTGTAGTCGTGTCCTCATTAGTATTCTTTATATAAAGAATACTAATAGGACAGTATATCTATTGAATTTGTAGTCGTGTTTGAAGCCGTTTAATAAACTCGCAGGTCGTGTTTTATTAGGTCTAAAGCAGGGCGTAGTAAAAGGTAATAAAACACTCCTGCTCGTTTATTAAACAGTACTTTCATCACCATCATATTCACCATGATTATCACTACCACCAGCACCATCACCTGTTCTCCAGCATTATCAGCTCTTCGCCAGCATTATCACCACCCATAATTATCAACAACATGCCCCACAAACATCATCATCACAGATATCACCACTATCATTACCATCAAAGTTCTATTTCTGCTGATTTTTATTTAATGATTCTTATATGGATTCATTTTTTTACTTGAAGTATATTATATTTCAATTTTTAAAAATCCATTACATTGTTTTACCGAAGATGTATAAGTAACAGTTATTCTGTGAACTCGAGTCGTATATGAGCTGATATACGACGAGGTGTGTAGCACCGAGTATCTGTCTTATACGGCGAGTGTAAGTAGAATAACTGTTTTATTATATAGACAACTACTGAATTCACAGACTCATCTGTATGGCAATATTTTGACAGTTAGTTTAGCAATCAACACAACTTGACCTAAACCTGATAAACCACTGCTGCTATTTCTTTAGCTAATACTTCAAACATTGCTCAAAACTTGAAATTGTTATATATTTAAGGCTTTTAGACAAAACAAGTGCTTCCTGATTTCACATCTATGAGTTGACCTTGTTTTTAGTTTAATTTTTTCAGAACAATTATATTCTTATATTCTGTTCATGTTTTTATCTATCCATCATCATAATCATAACCACCATCATCAAAACCATAACTACCATCAATCATCATAACCATAACCACCATCATCACAACCATAACCACCATTATCATAACCATAACCACCATTATCATAACTATAAGCACCATTATCATAACCATAACCACCATTATCATAACCATAAGCACCATTATCACAACCATAACCACCATCATCATAACCATAACCACCATTATCACAACCATAACTACCATTATCATAACCATAACCACCATTATCATAACCATAACCACCATTATCACAACCATAACCACCATCATCATAACCATAACCACCATTATCACAACCATAACCACCATTATCATAACCATAACCACCATTATCATAACCATAACCACCATTATCATAACCATAACCACCATCATCACAACCATAACCACCATCATCATAACCATAACCACCATCATCATAACCATAACCACCATCATCATAACCATAACCACCATCATCATAACCATAACCACCATTATCACAACCATAACCACCATCATCATAACCATAACCACCATCATCATAACCATAACCACCATCATCATAACCATAACCACCATCATCATAACCATAACCACCATTATCATAACCATAACCACCATTATCACAACCATAACCACCATTATCATAACCATAACCACCATTATCACAACCATAACCACCATTATCATAACCATAACCACCATCATCATAACCATAACCACCATTATCATAACCATAACCACCATTATCACAACCATAACCACCATTATCATAACCATAACCACCATCATCATAACCATAACCACCATTATCACAACCATAACCACCATCATCATAACCATAACCACCATCATCATAACCATAACCACCATCATCATAACCATAACCACCATCATCATAACCATAACCACCATCATCATAACCATAACCACCATCATCATAACCATAACCACCATCATCATAACCATAACCACCATCATCATAACCATAACCACCATTATCATAACCATAACCACCATTATCATAACCATAACCACCATTATCATAACCATAACCACCATCATCACAACCATAAGCACCATCATCACAACCATAACCACCATCATCACAACCATAACCACCATTATCACAACCATAACCACCATTATCATAACCATAACCACCATGAGTGTCGCAGATGGTTTTGTCCAGGATGCAGGTCGCTTGTCACTCATTTTGTAGCTGCTTTGTCGCTTGGTTTATTGTAATAAATGTCGCTGTCACTTTTGACCCATAACACAAATCGCAACTTGTCGCTTTTTCCCAGCAGAAGCTGTCGTTGTCGCTCTTTTTTAGATAGTCTGTCGCCTTTTTTAAGGAATGTCGCCCTCGTCATAACCCCTTGGTGGTGTAGCAACTTGATAAAATAACAGCATTGTTACAACTTGTTGACAAGCTTGCTACAAGCCTGTTGCGAAGACATCTTGTTGACAAGTTGTTAGATTTTTACGTGTGTACCCGAGAAATCTTGCGCTGTTTGGTAAATCAAACCATGTATAGTGTTTTTATGATCCATGGTCAAACAGAAGCACTCTTCTCACATTGGAACAAAGGGAAATTAAAATCCAACAACCAGTGGCGTAGCCAGCCCGACAATTTTGTCCCGCTATGCAAATTCAAAATTATTATCATTCATTTCTTTAGAAATTGATTGTTTTCACAGTCAATGAACACGAAAATATTTGCATAGCGGGACTAAATCGTCGGGCTGGCTACGCTCCTGCCAACAACTGCATATTGCAGGAAGAATTCACATGCACCAAACACTGTGCCGCTGACACTATACACTTAGCTTCACTTTCCTGCAGGCTCCCTTAAATCTACTCCCTCCAGCTTTTCAGGTTTAGCCAACATCACGTTTATCATTTCAGCATCTGGTTGGTATTTATACATGGAAGCCTCGCACCAAGGCGACCGAACGACAAAGCTCGTTGATCTCACCATCGACAACAGAAACCAAATCCCGTCTCCTCTTTTTTTACCACATGTACGGCCTACGTGGGTAAACTTCGGGTATTTATTTTTATTTATGCATTTATTTATTTATTTGTTAACTTTCCCAAACGGTCCACGTGCCAGTGTCATGACATCAGGTGATGAGGGTGAACATAAATAAACATCGTATCACATATATAAGATCCCTTGTCGGACTGAAAGCTTTGGTGGTGAAGATCTTGAAGTGACAAACCTATATTATATCATATTTTCTCGATATTTGTGGTATCGAGTATTTTCCAACCTATTGCAGAATAATTGGCGGAAAATGTTGATTGGAAACTTTCAAATTTGGTGGCCATGTTTTAATTTATTTTAACTTCGTGCATCCATTGGGCAATATATAACTTCATGCCAAACACTATACAGTATAATTTAATCTTAAATTTGACACAGCTATAAAGGGTTAACCAATTATTTTATAAAATCTGATTGCTATTTTTTGTTCGGCCAAATGTCCGGAAAATCTGGCATTCGATCGCGGAAAAACTGTAATTTGGTCGGAAAATGTCCGACCGCTATTTCAGGCTCTTCTTCGTGAATTGAAACACATTCATACACTGATAAATATATATGTATAATTTCAGGTCTACGTGAATCTGGGATAAGATGGGATTACCAGTGTGGAGTCTTTCTGGAGAACAAGGTGACAAATGGATCAAGCACAAGTGGTTGTGAACGATCAAACGGCATCATATCAGGTGAGCATGTAGATCAGTGAACACCAAATGTAACTGAATCCGAAGACAGCAGATATTGGTGGCTAGGTGGGTATAGAATTAAAAATACCTGCTTGTTCAAGTGCTAAATATTTCTGATCTACCGGTGAACGGAAACGACCGGACTTTTCTACTTTTCTTGCAGTATGTAATCGAAGGTGTACGTGGTAAAAGTTACGAGGGAGACATTGCAATTGATGATATCTCGGTCATACTCATGGTTTCAGGTCCTCCAAGAGGTGAATCACTTGTGTACTGATAGCTGTGTAGCCCCATGGATAATAAAATAAATGGATAGGACACTAGCTGACGTCACAGTCTAAACCTAGTTGCAATCTGTGACGTCACGCGTATTGCCAAAGTCCTCGGCATTTTTGTTGTTTTGCTATATTTTCTGCTTTAAAAGTTTAAAAGAGTAATATGAAGCATAAACTGGTCTAATTGTTTTAAAAACATACCTAAGCCACGACAAAGTATTCAAGGTAAATGTTTTTCGTCTTTGTTTTGTATTTTTTTACATTTGTAGCTACGAAATTGGCGTCACCAATTTTAACGAAATTTGGGATGCATTTTTCACTGTTTAGTGCTTGAAATATTTGCTAAAATTGACTGCAAATACTTAGAGATTTCATCGTAGAATGGCGTAGTTATACTTATTTGCTCTTTGACTAAAATGTTTAGCTGTATTATTGCTAAACATGCCGTTTTTGAGAATTTGGTTTGCAACTAGGTTTCAACATCCAACCACGCCAACATCCCATTGAAAACATCAGGTCACGTCAGCTAGTTTCCTGTCCATTTATTTTATTATCCATGGTAGCCCGAAGTACCACCAATCTTTGACAAAATAGAGTAGGAAAGCTGGGTTTCTTCGTAGTTCTCTTTTGGTGCCACGTATAGGTTATAACATATTTTTACGATTTTAGAAAATCAACCAACGGTAAAGTCGACAAGTAAAAAGGTGACAACAACAATTACTGTTTCCACTACACCTGCAATTTCACCATCTCAAATTAGCTCTGAAGGCAAGTGATGTTTTTGTCTAATTATACTTAAAAATTCATAAACCGTGTGGCAAATCATGTCAGCCATAATATGTCACATGTTTAGTTTAGTTAGTTTAATTAATTCGCCAGTAAATTACAATGACATATACAGGGTGTATCAAAAAAACTGAACAGATTTGAAATTGCTCTCAATTTCGCAAAACACCTATTTGTATCTGTTTTTTATATATATAGCTTCTTTGGGTACTTATAATGTAAAATAATGAAAAAAAATTTCGAACTCAAATTTTGTGAACCAGGGGGGGTGTCTTTTCCAACAAATTAAAAATAGCTCGCGCACAAAATTTAAAAGCTGTAATCATATTTTGAGTTAATAGATTGAAACGTTGTCGGGTTTATTGCACAAAATTTCAGACAATTTGGTTTAGTTTAAGCCCTTTAACTATTCATTTTGTTCTAAAAAGTCAGCCTTTCGCATGCTTAATTAATGCCTTTACCTAATTTGCATATTGCTGACATATGCAAATTAGGCAAATGCATTAATTAAGCATGCAAATAGCTGATTTTTCGGGAAAATTGTAACTTTGCGTGAATAGTTAAGGGGCTTAAACTAAACCAAATTGTCTGAAATTTTACAGTAATTAAAATCTCTCTTTTGAATTCCAGTGGAAAAAGGCGTAGTTTCTGCAGCCTCAATGATATGACATATCTTTTGGGTAATTAAGAATAAACCGCGTAGCTCTTCGCTGAACATTTTCGATAACTAAACGATGTTTACCTGTGTAAGGAGACAAAACACTACTGCAATACTCAAGCTTTGGTCTAACAACAGTACAATACACGCAGCCGAGCGTTTTATATCTGATAAAACACGACAACGAGTGTTTTGAATAGCTTAAAATACGACTACAAAATAATACTAATTAGTAATTAGGACGAACAATTATATAATCATACTAATTAGGATGAACAATTATATAAAGAATACTAATGAAGATGAGTTTTATCAGATATAAAGTCTCTATATAAAGTAACCAAGGGTTCTGTTAGCTTTAGAGACAATCTCTTCGATGTGTTTAGACCATGATTATCATAACCAT